TATTTATTTATTTATTTCTAATTTTTTAATAGAAATAAATAAATAATAAATTAAATAAAATAATAAATTAATTTTCTGTATACAACATAATTAATAATATTTCATTATATTATTACATAAATAAATACAAAACCTTTAAAATAATTAAAGAAATATTTGATTTTTTCATGACATTTCCTTAAATAATTTTTTAATTAGCGTGTATACACTGCACACTAATTTTCGCGTACTATACAATTTTAAGTAAAAGCTTCAATTACAATACACAGAAAGATAATTATTTTCACCAGAAACATACTGCAAAATTTTATACCACCAGCTGATTAATTTAACAAATTGGAAAATTAATTAAACAAGTTGTGAACTTTTTCAATATATCGTTTTATATTTCTTTGGTCAAAATGGAGTCGTAATATAAATTCGTTATTATATCGAGACAGATATAGGATCCAAAGAGATTTCTCAATTAATTTACATTTCTCTAATGAAGTACTCACAATTCCAAGAGAAAAAAATAATCAAAAAGAAAAAAATGGCAAAATAGATTCTCTCATTTCAGGTTAACGTTAAATAATACTGAAATTCTTCTAAAATGAAATAATTTTCAAATTCCACTTATTCTTAATTATTGCTAATAACTCTGTATTAATTAGCACGAGAAAATCCTCTCGAGACTCGTCAAGAGAAAGAGAGATCAGGAGAGGATGGTAAAGGTTAATCGATATTGATTGCATCATTAATTAAGCAAAAGGTAAAATGTGGAAGACGTGAGCTCCGAGATTCTTTGCGTTTCACGTTTACTGCGCAAGTATTCTGCAAATAAATTCCCTGGAAATCCTCATAAGAAATAAATAAATTTAATTTTTCATGAATAAATTATATATCTTAGAAAATTTAAATATTCCTTCCTTCGATCATAGAACTATCGATATTTTCAGTTTCAAGAGTATCTATTTGAAAACTATCAAGTATGAACATTATAGTTCTCTAAACATCCGGAAAATAGATGAAATTCTGAAAAGGAACCAAATAGTTCTCACGTAAACTTCGTGTGTGGATAATAAATTTCTTTGTTGGAATAGAAAGGTCTGTTAGTCGTATAATTAGAATCAAAGACGGTCTTGTTCGCGTAACAAGTATTCTTGTTCGGAAAATTAGGCTAAAAATTATTTTTATCTTGATATATAATCGTAAAAAAAAAAGTAGAAAGATTTGAAATTTTATGAAATTTTTAATTGTACGATGGCGAAGGAATATTTAAGAGATATAAACATATGTAAATATAGCTTTCAAGACACTTTATGTAATGAAGAATGAGCAGTAAACTGTAACCAGAATATCAACTCACAAATAACACACGCAACCCAAGGTTTAAAGTGCCTCTGCTTAACCCGTATAACCCTAGATGCGGTTGCACCGATGGGTGTCGCCACCTAGCGCTATAATTTACGACTACGCTATATCGAGTCGACCAACTATATCATATTTACTTGCTTGCAGCACAGAACCACTATTAACCTCTATAATGCCATGTGGCTTGAAAGTTACCAACCCATCTGATTTATACGTTCTAAAATCTATTTTGTGTTTTTGTTTCTACACTATTGACATCTTGTATTATTATTATACTGCTATTCTGTTACCAAAGTCATCCATATATGGTTATAATAAAGTTATATAATAAAATTTTTCTTTCTGTAAAGAAAATTTCTATTATAAAGGATTAAAATAATTAATAACTAGATTGAAAAATGACTTCGATATTTACAATTATCGAATAAAATGATATTGCACAACATGTAAAACTCAATCTACAGTTATGTATTGTAAAATTCTCTATATTTGGTGGAATTGTCGAGAAACTTTTGCAGTTTAAATTGTTCCTAAGAGACGAAACCATTAATTCAGACTAGGTTAGGAAAACTAGGAGGAGGAATAGCAGTGGTGAGAAAGTGATTTTTCACCAGAGTAATGGCACATCACACGTGTCACGTAAGGCGCAAAAGGAATCACATGAATTGCATTGATATATGAAACAGTCATGAATTTAAATTTCGAAGATCTCCCTATTCGAGTGCATATAACTACTGAATTATTCGCTATTGGAATTCGAAAATATTTTTCGAATAAATTTCAACTAACCTCCAATTAAAATATTTCTTGTAAATTGTTATCGATATCGACCATTATTTGGCAAATGCAACGGAATATCGAGATATCATACGCGAGTAATACGAAGCAGTAATTACTACAATTGCAGGAGTTACTAAAGTAATGAAAATGCAGTGTCCGAAATAGTTTGATAGGATATAATTGGAACGACATTGAGAAAATTTCAGGTACAGTTGCAGTTCAAATCTGCAATAATTAATAGTAAGTGAGGCAGCACATCATCGCCCACAAAAGCTATCGATTTAATTAAATTAATGTATTATTCATGACGTAAAACGATACCAAAACGCGCGGTCAACTTATTTTAGACACTTGTTACGATTTATGTAAATTATTCAATTTCCGGGAACATTTTGTCGTACGTCCTGTTGCGAATTTATTTTCCTCCTTCTGTAATCAGAATATTTTATCACGAACAGCAGGCTTTAATTAATAATTTTCTGCTTTGGATTTCACTTATTTATGTAGCAAGGAAATTCATGAACGTTTTGAAATAATAAAATTCAGTAGAACTACTATCGGTATTCTGCTTAATATTTTAATATAAGAAGAGTATTGTACATATATGCTCTATATCACTATACTCTGTATCGAAGTTTCCTGTATCGAAATACTTTGTATCGGAAATCACTATACTCTCCACTGAAATTTTCTACGGCGAAAATTACTATACTCTATATCGAAAATTTCTATGACGAAAATCACTATACTCTATATCGGAATATATTGCGTTGGAAATCACTATACTTAATACCGAAATATTTTGTGTCGGAAATTATTATACTCTATATCGAAATTTCCCATATCGAAATACTTTGTACCGGAAATTACTATACTTTATATAGAAATTTCCTATATCGAAATACTTTGCATCGAAAATCACTATACCCTATATCGAAATTTCCGATACAAAATACTTTGCATTACAAATCACTATATTCCATATCGAAAATCACTATACCCAATATCACGACATTATAATGCCCACTCCAATAAATATAATTAATGATACGGTGAAAAACTCGTAATAGAGGAATGTAAAAGAAAAAATTTTTCACATGTAACGAAGGAATAAGGGAAGGAAGTCTACGAGGCACTGTGAATCGACGAGATTTGGAATTCGTTCGGCAATCAGCGACAGCTTAAACGCATAGTCGATCTGATTCCAAAATCAAAGGCAACAATAGGTGTTTGTGTAATTCAAGCTGTCGCCGGGCAAACATTTCCGACCCGTTGGCTCGATAGTGGTTGCATGGTTTCTGCATTTTGAACGAGACATTTTCTGCGGTATCAAAGCGCATTTGTATCCGCGCTGCAAGTCAGGAAATGGACAGGCAATCAACGTTAGTTATGCGGAATCGTTAACGCCGTTATGAAATAACGCCACGCTATTTCGTGCCGAATGAACGACCGTTTAATGGAATACCTGATTAGTAAATTCATTATCCCAGCTTTTTTACTTCGCATCGTTTTAATGAGGATCATCGTCCAGACTTTTGCTTTGGCAATTCCGTAACCGTTATTGACAACGAAGTTCATTGTATGTATAAATAACGAAATTTAGCAAAAATTAATAATAAATATAATGCTAATGGTATAAAAATTGATATTACAACATTCTTGAATTAATTCGTTGACTATTACTATGAGCTACTGAATTTGAGTAACGTGTTGCACGACATTTATGTAAGATTAATTAGCACTATTAATGTAATATTGTTCTCACAAAATTTTTCTGATAAATTCCCTTGCCAATTGAAATTAATTAAAAATAATAATGAAAACGTATAATTAATTACTCGTTAATTATTAAAAAGAATTCTCAGGATACTATTACTAAATATAAATAGAAAATTTATACAGAGATACAAGAATAATAATAATGGTAATTCAATAATGATAGTTTTTTGGTTACTTGAAATAAAAGCGATTATTCGTCAATTATATAAAATAATTTTAATAACATCTTTGGTAATTAGAATTATTGAATAATGACATTAATAACTGAAATCAATTACTTCTGCGTTAACTAAAATAATTCTGAAAGTATCATTACCAGTTACTCATTGCCAGGAATGACAATACTAATTCTAAATTAATCGCATGCATATCAATTACATAAATTCATTCAAGAAACACTCTACTCGTTAAAATTGCACAAAGACAACAATATTTAACCATTTTATAATATATATAATAAATATATCCTATTATTATTAATACTACAATAAATATAAATACTAATATTTTATCAATATTAATACTTAACCCCCTATATTTTCAAAAAATTAATAACACCGCTCGAAACCAAATATCCCGACAATTAAACGACCCACTGCACTCCACATTTCCCAGCAGAGTAACACCTTACGTAACCACCTAACAAACCTTCGCTCACTTTATTCCCCAAGTATCACGTTCTCGAGTGCACGAATTCGTCACGCGAATACGCGAAACAACCGGTTGTGAACTAAAATTTCCGTGCTGAAAACACCAGCGACACCTACGCCCCTTTTGCACCAAACAAACCTAACACCTTAACCGTTTGAATCCCGGAGGGTTTTGAGGAAGCATTGTCGGAGTATCCCAAGCAGCGCGACCGCGCTGCCTCTAAGTGGTTACAAAAGGACCCAAGCAGCGCGATAGCGCTTCTTCTATTTTATGTCGAGATATCCCAAGGGGCGCGATAGCGCTTCGTTTATATTATGACGATTGTTAATTCGTGAAAGGTTGTTTTCGGTACTCCGGTCATCCCTTTATTTAGGACTGTAAAGCTAAAAATAAAAGCTCTGAAATTTTACAAGTACCAGTGTTGCGGCCCTAGGACCGCTCTGTCTCAGGTCAAGCGGAGGACTCTTTTATGTCCTTATTGTCAGCCCCTTCCCTTGACTTTTTACACTCATTGTTACCTAAGCCTTCACTTGGGTATACCCCAGCAAGCAATGATATGTCACCCCTGAGGCGGCGGACATAGGGACCTAGATTGTTTAAACAACCACCACCACCGAAGTACGCTAGAGCTGACACACACCCCCAATAGTATTCGCAACCAATCAGTAGGAAGACGAAGAATACATAACCACCGACAGAGCAGTCACGAGAGCAGATCAGTAAAGTTATCCGACAGATCAGTAAAGTTATCTGAGAGTTCTACTAAAATACAGTTCACTATACACAACCTTCCTCAATGAACCGTCCGTCATTAACCGTCGCCAACTAAGACCGACCTAGTGACGATATACAGCGATGAATGGCCAAGTGACGCGATAGCGCTTCGACTTCGACAGTCAGTGACGCACCGTCAGCTGTCGAAGACGCTCGAAATGTGCTGGGTCTTCCCGACATGAAATCTGACCAGCGCGATCGCGCTGCTTGGGACTCAAACGGTTAAGAACCATTCACTGACCCCTTTTCTCCCCTCCATCGCTCCCTCTACTCGACTGCACCGACTATCAAGAATTTCCTCGAAGCGGACTCGTTGCCGAGTGAAATAAAAGGTAATTGCAAACCTGATTAGAGTCCAGGCCCCAGAAGTCGAGTTCCTCCTCGAACAGAGGGCCACAGACGTCCGTCGGGTAATGAAGTTTCCCGGTGCGATAGTAATTCAACACCTGAGCAAAGACGCCTGGATGACGGTCATAGAAGTATTCGTTCAAAACGGGATCGTAATTGACCAAGGCCTCGGTTAGGCGAGACAGCCTGGTGGCCGGGATCTTCTTCAGGGTGGACTTGTACGTCTCGTGTCTCACGCCACCTACGTTCAGGATCACACGGTCGTTCCATCTGCCGTCATCTAGCTTCCTCATCCTCCCGGCGTCCCATGGATCGCATGGTAGAGGGAAGAGCTCGGATGATAACTCGGGCTTCCGAAGGGTTCTGATGAGAGGCACCGAGACGATGACGAGAGCTGTGGAGGAAAAATTCGTCGTTTCGATGAGAGCAGTGAAGAACTTTGGTTCAGCTGTAGTGGTGGATAACGTATATCTAAAATATCTAAAACTGACGTGGTCTAAAGCCATGATCAATATTCGCTTATGGTCTCTATAGCTAGGGTACATTTAACCAAAATTCTGGGGGGCCCATTCCGGTCAAGTTTCACTTACCTCGTGTGACACTTAGGTGAATATGAGGTATCTTTCGAAGAGCTCCACCACGTATAAAAAAAAAAAGAAAATGGCGAAAGTAACTGTTGGGTGCTTTATCTAGTCAGATCAGAAATAGCGCAAGATACTAGATACAAGATATTGGGTGGTCCGGAAAATTCGTGCGATTTTTAAAGGAAAATTGAAACGCGGGAGATTTAAATACAACCTTTCTCCATCTTTCAGGCAACTTGAAAATTCCGTTCTTCCAATTTTTCCAATTTTTCCAAATATACCTGAAGTACCGTCTTTTCCGATATGTACGAATGTCGTTTGTTTTCAATCATTTTGATATGTATATATAGGATACCAAAGGAAATCGCGAATCGGCTATTGCCAACAAAAATAAATTGTAAACCGATCGATATCTTCTAGAAGCAAATCGAAAAGTTATTCTATATAACAAAATTAAGTTGCGTGACTCCTCTACGGGGAGGTGAAGCCTAGGTTAAGGAAAGCATAAAAAGCGTGGTCCTTGACAACCAAAACAGAGTCCTTGAAAATCGTTTGTGACCAGCACGAGCGTGAGTCGCTTGGTGTTGGAAAGAGAGTTTTAAAAGAGTTCGTCTTTGTGTGTTTTCGTTATCTTGGTGTTCTTTCCCTGAGTTAAATCAGTTTACGAGTTTTGAGTTTGTGTTATTGTGTTCTTGTTCTTTCGTGAATTTTCGGTGTCTCGAAACCAGTTTCGCCATACTACATATATGTAGGATCTAGAGTTGTGGGGATTGGCTATAGTAATGTTTTACTGCTTCTTAAAATACAATAAGCTTATACTTGTATTATCAGCCACGAAACTAAAGACTCGCTACTGGTACGCTCGACTTTTACTTGTTAGACGCTATCTTGAAGACCGTGAAGGTCTGTCCTCGCCCGCGCCCTTGCACCCTTATTTAAACCGTTCATCCTCCTCGTTCATACCCTGACTTTCTTCTCCAGTCATGCTCCTTTCTCCCGCAACCTCGGTAGGCCAGGCACTTCAACCACTCTGCACGCATCCTTAAACTTTCACTCGACTCTACCATAAATAATCCTTGCAGTCGATCCTTGCGCACATGATCACTTTCATTCTAAGTTCAGACACACTCGACATTTCCCAGAGCCACACTTATTCCATTCACTATAATCCTTGCAGTCGATCCTTGCGCACATGGTCACTTTCATTCTAAGTCCAGACACACTCGACGTTTCCCAGAGCCACACTTATTCCATTCACATATATATATATATTCAGACCTGTCCTTACGCCACCTACCGAAATTCAGCACGAACTTACCGGACACCCTAATACTTGACGCAAGATACTAGTTGCAAGACACAAAAGACATATTACTGACGATAGGTCGTCGATCTTATTTCTATATGCGATTGAACCTAATAACAAGTCTGAGAGCAATCATTTCTACTGCTTCTCTGTTTTCGTTTTTGTATTTTTAATGAGCGGGAGTCATTACGTTCGGGTGCAACTCTTGACGTCTTACAAGTGGTGTGTATATGATAGTGGTACGATATATACTCCCAGGCAAAAAATTTAGCAGCAATTTCCCAGCTGCGTCGAATTTCTCGTTAATTCGAGTATTAATTCAAAATTCGTATCAGGGACTTTTAATTTTCAGAAACTAGAAATTAAAAATTCTTATTTGCGTGAATTTTTGTATAATATTAGAGATGTTTTATGCTCCGTGGTGCTTGGTAAAGGAAAGATTGAAAGATCGTTGGATTTACCTGCAATTTTCATAATTTTCTAGTATTTTGGAGGCCTTCAATTTTGAAATAACTTTTGACGAGATGTGCGAGTTTGAAATACGTTTGACGAAGTGGATTTTGTTTGACATGCAAGAGGAAGGTGCCTTTCACGATCTCTCTCAGGCTGGTGTAATGTGACAGTGTTTATCGTAAGTGGTTGTGATGCTTTTGGTAAGAAAATTGCGAAAGAAGGCTGGTTACTCGCGAGAGGATTAAATTAGCGAAGCTCGGATAGAAGGGCAAGGGATAACGTAGCTTTCCAATGAAATTTTTTCAGGTATGACATTTAGGGTATCGACATAAATTGGTTCGTCCGTGAGGATGATCCTGAGAAAAACTCGATTCCATATATAATACACACAATTAGAAATATTTTTTTCCACTTTTGAAAACAAATATTTTGAAAAACCAAAATAATTGTGAATTAATTATAGAAATGTTATTATTACATGCTACTGAAAATATTTTATATCTGAAATTGGTACAATCCACCGTTGAATTTAATTTTACCGAAATATTTAATAATAATGGAAGAATTGAAAATCGTTATTGTACTTCAGAAAAATTACTATACTCTGTCTACATTCAATACTTTGTCAAGAGACTCACAATATTGAATATTTTTCTTTTTATTATTATATTTCCTTTATTAGATATATTTTATCGTTATTGATATTGTAAATTAATTGTGTTTATTTACATTCGAATATTCGTGATTAATAGAAATTAATTCTACTTCAAAGGAATTTATTTTATTAATTATGTTGATTATTTATATGCACTTATTGGAACAAGTTAAGAAACAGAATAATGATCTGCGAATTTTTGTTACGATTCAATATGATCCAATTCAAAATAAATGTTTTCATTGTATATTTTATCCTGTCTTCGTTTATATAATAAATAAAGCTGTTTATGGCAAAATAACAAAATATTGATATCGTTAAATCGAGTTCCGTAATTAATTTTTGGAATTCATGATATATTTAAACCTTAATTACATAGGACACTCTCATAATCACTGGCACACGTGTGACAACATTAATTTCGGATACCAAAATCGATCAAATGCTTACACCATTAGCAAGAATGGAAATTCGGACACCAATCATCTCCATTCGATATTATAGTAATAATGGTAGCAATAATTTTTAATGGAAAATCAATTTTATCAAAATCGATCACACATTTCCACCAACAACAAAAGTACAAACGTAAAAACTTAGAGACCAATTATCTCGATCTAGTATTCATAATGATAACAATAATTTTTTAATGGTGCCTCAATTTTATCAAAATCGATCATACGTTTTCACCAACAGCAGAAGTAAAAATTTCGAGACCAGTCATCTCAATCTTATAGCAATAATGGTAACAATAATACTTTAGTGATACTTTAATTTATCAAAATCGATCACAGGTTCTCACCAACAGTAAAACTAAAAACCTGAAACCTGTTATCTCGATTTGATACCATAATAATGGTAACAACAATTTTTTATTGGTACCTTAATTTTATCAAAATTGATCAAACGTTTCCGCCAATAGTATAAATAGAAACCTGAAACCTGTCATCTCGATTTGATATCATAATAATAATGGTAACATTAACTTTTAAATGGTGCGTCACTTTTATTAAAATCGATCACACGTTTTCACCAACAGCAAAAGTAAAAATTTCGAGACCAGTCATCTCGATCTAATAGTAACAATAATAATAATAATTTTTTAGTGATACTTTAATTTTATCAAAATCAATCACATATTTTCATCAATGGCAGAAATAGAAACTCAGAGACGAGTTACCTTGATTCCATAGTAACAACGGTGGCAGTGATGTTGAAGATGGTAGTACACGTGGATCTCCTTTTATTTTACACTTCATTGGGTCAATATTTTCGTATCGAACGAAATTCCAGTATAAGATGAGGATGTCGGTGAGGCAATCAATATGTACTTTGCGTTATTAAATTTGCGACGACAAGGGGGATGGTTTTCGAATGCAGCGTCGCACAATTACGGTTGCCGTGGCCACTGATTACTCGACAACTAGTTTTCTATTATAATCCACGTGAAAGGAGACCGAGGCGAGTATTACAACACCCTTGGGAAGGATTGGCCGCCGGGGAAAATTGATTGGAAAATAGGTTGGAAATAAGAACCATTCCACGGGGAAATATGAACCACCGTCGACTGTGCAATTTAAACGAAGCCCTGTTCATTCAAACGTAAAATCGTTATATCCTTTTAATGGCTGTCTGTAAATTCAAGCGAACGTTCACTCTGAATTTTTCACGATTCTTTTTTTCCAGAGAAAGATTAATTTTCCTATTTAATATTTTATTATAATTTGTGTATTGGGTCGTAATTATTCAGTAGGTACATAAATTCGAATTTTTTCGAAATTCACAACGAATTTTTGGACTGTGGTAAACAAATCGACTTGTATTTGTAAAATATTCTTGAATTTTCGCATTTCGCGTATTTCATTCAAAACTAATGGCATTTAGAGTGAACAGTTTCCAGGTGTTCTTTGATCTATGAATTTTTTTTTTTTAATTTGTTGAGAATATTTCGAGTAAATAATAGTGGATTTTCAGATCTATGGGACTTAAATGACAATGTTACTGGAAATTTATTTTTGTTTAAATCGGCAGAAATTTTTAGTACCTCCTTATATTACATTTCACTGTGCATACTTTATATACATATAGTGCATTCATCATTTCATAGTATTTTAGTATTATATTAGGCCAATTATATGCAGAATGAGGTAATTACTTCAGTTAATAATTTAAGGTATTACTAATATTATCATGTATTCCATATAGTTTATGCAATTATAGTTCATTAATAATTCCATGCTTAATAATTAAACAGTTTTACAACATAGCGCGCATGCATGCAGAGAATAAAATTTTCCAATACTAGAATCAAGTAACAATTGAAAATTGAAGATACCAACACACGACGTAGCAAGTTTCATTTTACACAGGAAATGAAACTCCATTTGAAACCCAAAAAATGAAGAAATATTGTATTACAAATTTGTTTCATATTATTAATATTAAATAATTTCATATGAAAATTTAACATACAAATTCTATATATTAAACAAATTTGCATAAAATAATACCGTTATTCTCTATTAATAATTAATATTCCATATTTAAATATAATATGTAATTATATATAGAAGTAAAATTCTGGACACAAAATAATATCATTATTTTATATTAACAATTTAATATTCCACGTACAAACCTTAACATAATACATAAATTTTACATACAAGTTAAATATTATATTTCAAACGATATTGTTATCGTGTATTACCAATTTATAATAATATTTTTATATTTTAATTATATTGACACGTATATTGATATAATGATATAAATCTACTACACATGTTCCATAGATTATTTTGTATTACAATACGCACTCTGCCACAGAAATTACTCACTGAAAAACATAGCTATAAACAAAGCGTAAGTCCGCGGTGAAGTTCCTTGATCACGATCACTTCCGCTCAAACCCTTCACTTATCGATAACAAACACATCATTTCATCGCATCAGGCACCGATGATTGAAAACACACAAAGCATTGCATAGATTAGTACAAATATACTTCCGCGGAATTTATTTCTTCGATAATATGTGAAACAATTATCCTTACCCAACTACTCGTTGTACTCGTTAATCATGTTCCTCCGACCACTTCAAATACCACCACTCTCTCCACTAACCCGCAGTGAGTAAAACAAACGGAGAAATTACTTTAGGGAAATTAATATTTACATTTATCACGCACCTCGACGTCGCGATAGATCGATCCGCCGTTGGATCGAAAATGGCCGATGATTTTCCTCGCGGACGGTCGAAGAGCTCGAGCCTCCCGGAGAGGAATAACCCACGACGCGAGCGTGGTTTCCAGTTCTATAAATTCGGCTCTGTTTATTTGCGCGTGCTGCTGTGAACGTTCGAGTTATCGAATCGCGAACCGACGAAAATCGTTTCGCCCCGGTAACGAGCCGTAGAGTATTTGTTTTTCCCATCAAAAGACGATCGCTGTTCATATGTGTGAAAATTAGTCAAGTGTTAACGAGTAGATTTTTCATTACCCCTGACGCACGAGTACCGTTCGGTTTAATGTTCACCGCGTTAGTGTTTGCATCGCGACAGCTTGTTTAATCGAACAGAAAATTATTCTACGTCCGAAAATAAATCGGAATGGAAAAGCGAGATTTTTTCGTACAATATCTGGTTTAGGAGGAAATCGAGCTTGAAAATTTGCTGGGCGCGCGTGCAGTTGGTTAGTCACTGAGAATCAGCCAGTGATAATGTTATACTGGAGAGAGGGCTATCGAGTATTGAAAAATACGTTGAGAGAGGTTATATAATTTCTTGGTTCGTGGCTTTGATTTCGATGTAATAAAATTTTTAGATTTTTTGGGAGTGCATGAAGTGGGATGACTGTTGAATGGTATTGAAAATAATGGTAATGGCATTTGGTTGGCTAATAATGGTATTGAAATTGGTCAAGAGAATATTATGCATCTGGAAATAATGTTTTTTGGTTGGAGTCTTTGTTTTGGGAATAACAGAATTTAAAAATTTTGTGGGTGTGTGTGGACCTAGCAAACTATTCAATGAATAATAATTTTAAAAATAATTAGGAGGTTGGTATTGAAATTGGTCAAGAGAATATTATGCATCTGGAAATAATGTTTTTTGGTTGGAGTCTTTGTTTTGGGGATAACAGAATTTAAAAACTTTGTGGGTGTGTGTGGACCTAGCGAAGTATTCAATGAATAATAATTTTAAAAGTAATTAGGAGAGTATTATGCAACAAAAAGTAAATCAAAAATTGAAGATAATGTTTTTTGGTTGGAGTCTTTGTTTTGGGGATAACAGAATTTAAAAATTTTGTGAGTGTGTGTGGACCTAGCAAACTATTCAATGAATAATAATTTTAAAAGTAATTAGGAGAGTATTATGCAATAAAAAGTAAATCAAAAATTGAAGATAATGTTTTTTGGTTGGAGTCTTTGTTTTGGGGATAACAGAATTTAAAAATTTTGTGAGTTTGTGTGGACCTAGCAAACTATTCAATGAATAATAATTTTAAAAAGAATTAGGAGAGTATTATGCAACAAAAAGTAAATCAAAAATTGAGGATAATGTTTTTTGGTTGAAGTCTCTGTTTTGGGGATAACAAAATTTAAAAATTTTGTGAGTGCGTGTGGACCTAGCAAACTATTCAATGAATAATAATTTTAAAAATAATTAGGAGAGTATTATGCAACAAAAAGTAAATCAAAAATTGAGGATAATGTTTTTTGGTTGAAGTCTCTGTTTTGGGGATAACAAAATTTAAAAATTTTGTGAGTGTGTGTGGACCTAGCGAAGTATTCAATGAATAATAATATTAGAAATGATTAGGAGAGTATCATGCAACCAAAAATAAGTCGAAAATGGAGAATAATGTTTTTGGTTGGAGTCTTTGTTTTAAGGATAATCAATTTTTAAAATTTTATGGGTGTGCATGAACTTGGCTAACTATTAAATGAATAATAATCTTAAAAATTATTAGGAAAATATTCTGCTCCTAAAAATAAGACAAAAGTAAAGAATAATATTTCATGGTTAGTCTTTGCTTTGGGAATAATCGATTTTAAAATTTTTATGGGTATGCATGAACTTGTCTAACTATTAAATGAATGATAATCATAAAAATTATCAGGAAAATATTCTGCATCCAAAAAGAAGTCAAAGGTGGAGAATAATGTTTCACAGTTAGAATCTTCGTTTTCTGAATAGTCAATTTTCAAAATTTGGATAACCGTCGATTGACTAACGACAGCATAACTGGTTAGGTGATTATCCTAAGTGCAGAAATAAATTTTATACAATTTTTGGTTTGGAGATTCGTTTGAGAAAAAATCGAGCTTGGAAATTCGTTGGGTGGATGTTGCATATGGGCTGACGTTATTCTGCATCCAAAAATAAGTCGAGAGAACAGAAAACAGTTTTTCGATTTGAGACACAGTGTTGGAAAGAATCAAGCTTGATCATTTGTCGGGTGTACACGCACTTGGGTAACTTCTGAATAAATAACGAGCGTGGAAATGTACAGAAAGTTACTCTCTGTCCAGAAATAAGTCGAAAAGAAAAGAATAGTTTCTCGACTTGTAGCTTCGTTTAAAAAAGCAAAAATGAATTTAAAATTTCGTGGAGTACTCATGCACTTGAATCGTCTCTGAATGAAGTCTGATAATATAATATCTCAATAGCTTATAATACACTCGAAATGAATGAAAAAGAGAAATAAAATTTGTTGGATTAACCCATCATTTAAAAATAATTTAAGTTTGAAATTTTCTTAGGTGTACCTGTACCTTAACCAACTTTTGAATAAATAAAAATCAATATTAAATTAGTCATAAGTCAGAATGTTATTATAATTCAAATCAGAAATACCATTTTCCTGAATTAATAATTAATTATAAACGATTTAATACGAATATTTTTTATACAATTTTTTTTACATTTCTACAATATTTTTTTTACGATTTTGTACAATCTTTTTGCAGCTTATCGTTTGTTAAACAATAATTGTTAGTAGATTTAGAAATAATTATATGATATACATTAGTAATATTTTCGATAATAATATTAATAACTAATATTACATTACATTGTTAATAATATTACTAATATAATAATTGTAGTGGTAATAATAATGTGTAAGTTAATGATAGTAATTAGTGTAATGTAATTGATGTGATATCAAGTTGATAATATTAATCCACGGAAAAAAATTGAATACATAAAATGTATGAATGTAAATTATAGTATAGCAGTATACCATTAATTGTAACTAATATTCCATACTAAAAATATAATTTCACATCGTGCTTAGAGTACACCACCTTCAATTATTTTTTTCCTTACAGAGTTCGGAATAAAATAAATGAACTCTACACATGCTCTGATCTAATCAATACACGCAAATTTTCTGAATGAATAATCGCGTTGAAAATCCGCCTTAATAATCACGCCTAATTTATATGCAACATAAATAACACAATAATATTATTTTTAATATATTGCACTATAAAATATAATTAATAGCAACGGTATAATATTATACGATATATAAAATTAATAAATTATTATTTTATAACCATTGTTTAATAGTAGAATATTAAATAAACTTCATTTAAATATTTTATATCACAAAAGTCTCGTATCAATTATTCAAATTTTCAATTATATCAAATTTTAATAACTATATATGTATTCACCATTTTCACAAATATTTTTTGAGCTGCAGAAAAAATTGTTGACCTTGAAAAATTGGAAACGCTTCGGAAAAACTTCAGAGAGGAGAAACAGAGTACGGAAAATCGTTCACTATTTCCTGGACACACAAACACATTTTACCATTCAATGGAAACAAGCGAAAGATATACAAATCTCTGGCATGACCCGTTGGTGAAAGATCAAAGGAACAATTTCGAACGTCCAATTCCAATTGCAATTAGTCATCTGTCACTGAAAATTGGAATTTTGATGCTTTTCATAGAATCTTCGTGAAACTGTTACAACAAAATTGCTAAAATTTTTGCACATAGAAATGAGTTTACATACGTGGAACTATGTGGAATTCCATGTAAACTAACATAACTTTCAAATAGTTTACTATATTGGAGAATTATAACTAAATTTCAATTTTGCAGGTCTATGGATTAAAGTTAGCATGAAGAATTTGGAAAATTATCGTTATATTCGATAAATCGTGTTTAATGAATTTTTAAAAATGATATTTTTATATAATATTCGTGAAGAAATTAATGCTTCAAGGAACCTGTGAATATTCCCTTGCGTATCGATTTATGTAACAGGCTAAAGTCACCGCAGTTCTACAGCTGATTGATCCTATCTTGTATAAGGAAATTTATTTATTATTTAAACAACTTTTAGAAAGACTTTTTAAAGTAATGTTTATCCAAAAGAACGTTTGTTAATACAAACTGATATTAACCATCAAATAAATTGCGTTACAAATAATTCCTATTTTGTAAATTATATTTCAAATAATATTTACATTGATATTTTTACATATTTAGAGAAATATAAAACTTTGTCTCATTTTCATGCAATTTTTTAAGAACAAGAAACCAGACACTAGAAGATTGAGAGAGAGTGGAGAAACTTTTTTAACCTGCCCAAGATGTCAAGCAAAGTATCCAGAAGATAACAGAAAATAACCGAGAAAAATGAGACATATATTACTCCCTAAAATATTAACCCCAAGAAAACACAGTACATTCAAATTCTTCTCACAATGAACTTCCCATACGTTAAATATCAATAATTTGATCGATAAAGAATAATTAATAATAACAAAATTCGATTAAAGAGAATACCACAAATTCTCTATCAAGTAGCAGTTCTATATAATATCTAGTCTATGCCTGGACCCTCCGTGTAGCACCCAGGAACTCGTACGCTCATCGCACGGTCGGTAACAACGAGCTACGCGGTTGGTACGTCAGGTTTCTACCGAAGCCGTGGAATATCTGACCTCTATGCGGAATCTCTCGTACTACGAAAACATCATCACGAGGAATATACTGTCGAGACTGTTGTACCGTTGCCAACAACTGGACCGAATCGTGAACCGAGACGATGCATCTTTCGATTGTCAAGAACAGCGGTGAAAACGCGCG